CCCGCCCCGCCTCACCGGCTGCAGGCGCAGCGGCCGCCGGCGGCGGCTGCTGGGGCGGCGCGCTGCCGCCGCGCTGCGCCTTGGACCGCAGCTTTGCGGGCAGCAGCAGCAGCGCGGCTGCGGTCGCGCTGCGCTCACTGGCGGTGCCCTCGGACGGGGTGCGGAGCGGGGAGGCGCTGCGGCCGCTGAGGCTCATGGCAGCGCGCACCGCCGCACGGGCCGCCGCAGTGCCGGAGGCATCGGAGGCCACGGGGCTGCCGCCGCCGCTGCGCTCACCGCTGTCGGCGGCCTGCCACCGGCTGGCAGTGCGCGGGGCGGGAGGCGGCGCCGTCGTGGGCGTGACGCCGACCGCCGGCGGCGCCGTGGCGGGGGCGGCCACCGAGGGCGTCGCCTGCGCAGGCGTGGGCACCGGCGGCGTGGACGCGCCGGCGCTGGCGCCTGCTGCGGCAGAGGCCGGCGCGACTGCGTCTGTGTCCACGCTGAAGCGGCTCGCGAGCGGAGTTGCGGGTGGGACGCTCCCGGGCCCGCGGCGCGTAGCGGCCGGCGTGGGCAACAGGAAGGCGTCGTCGCCGGCGATGTGGCACTGGGCGCTGTAGGACCGGCAGTGGTGGGTGTGGCCCTTGGCGGACGAGGGGGGCTTGGGGCCTGTCGCAGTGCAGGGTAGGGCATTTGGCGGCGATGAAGGCGACTGCGCCAAGCGTTGCAAGCTAGGCAGCCTGGCGGGAAGCTGCAGTCGCAAAATGCTATATTGTTTACATTTACTGCAGCAAACAGCTGCATGACAGACATTGTATCTTGGGCACCGACATGCGCTTCACGGGGAGGGCCGGCCGCCGCCCCATTGCCGCACCGTGGCGATGGTGGTGGCCGAGCGGCGTTGAGGTGGAGGCTGGGTCGAGGTCCTCCTTATTGCATGCGTCCGCCTCCTTGCCCGCCGTCCTGCGCTTGCCAGGAACCTGTTGGTTGGGGCCGCGGTACAAGGGTGTTGGCGCCGGCTGCGCTGCGGCAGCGCTGGCTGTCGCTAGAACGTGTTTGGAACACCGAGCATGGCGGTAATGAAGTTGTCAACGTTCGGTGCGCGAGGCTCTCAAGAAGGTGCCCTGAATTATGCATACATATTTTTGTTCTTTCCAAGTTGGCTGTCCTGCAGCCGCCGTTCCCTGCCGCCGCACGTCAACAACAGCAGCGGCAGCATACCACAGCGTGCAGGGCGTGCGGGGCTGCCCTATCCTTCCTCACATGTGACGCCAGCTCCTCTGCCGCAGTGGAAGCATCCACGTTTCCCCTCATGAGACTCGGGATGATACGATTGACCTGCAGGTGGCAAAGGCTTGTTCGAGGTCCGTTGTTGATCGGGTTCCCCCGTGGCAAGCCACAGCATGGACACTCACCTCGGCAAAGTCGCGCAAGCTAGCGTCGCCTACGGGCTTTTTGCTGCGATCCCACCGCCATGGGGCCAAGCTGTTGAGCTCTCTGAGCGACATCCTGCTGAGCCGGATCCACTCAGGCCGATAAGATGTGTAAATAAGATTTTAGGTTGATTGAGTGATGAGTTATCGACCGTCAAGTCGATGAGTGCTGTGCAGCCACGTTGTTGTGTGAATAGTGACAGCACACTGCTCGCCTGTAAGCTGGGCTTGCAACGTAGAATGAAGACTGTGTGATAGAAAAAAAACAGACCTTGTTTGTACGGTAAGCTGCACTGTCAGGGCAAATTTCCACCTGTTCAACTCCTGCCGCCGCTGTCATCTGCATGACTAAGCTAGCTTCAATCTCACGGCAGTACGGTAAGGCGGGATGCGGGTGAGCAGCCAGCGTGGATCGTGATAGCATGGGTAGGACCATGTCCTGTACCTTCCCATCGGCCTGCTGGACCGCTTCCACCTGCCGAGCTACCAGGTAGCCAAGCGGCCTGCGAGTGAGAAGTGCGGTCGCGCAGCATTGCGGTCATATGGGAGGCAGATAGTAGATAGATAAGTTACTCGTGCCATAGCATCACTGCCATCGGCCCCGCGCGCATCAGATCGGACCTCCTCATTCCTAACTTTCCAACAGATCTGCCAGCAAGCATACACATAATGGGCAACAATATCAGCAAGCACAGAGCCACCAAGACAAGCAAAATCAGGCAACTTGTAAGCCTTCTATTCAATCTGCATCTGCTGCCACATACGCCAGCATTCAGGCACCATCTTGTCCTTCAGTCGCCGCCACAGCTCTCCACGAGGCAGACGGCAGGGACTTGCTGGCATTGGCTGTGTCGCGTGGCCGTGGCACGGCTACAGCTAGCTAGCTTGAGCAGTGAGGCGCTCGTGTGTCGTCATACAGTATGGCGAAGGGCAAGGGTGCTCGCATGAGTTGAGCACGTGCAACCTTTTTTGCATGCAATTGTGCAAATGGACCTGCGCCCTTCCCTGAATGCTCTTCGACCCGACCGTTCAACCCGCGTACCGCCACCTCCAGTTCTTGCTCACGGCGTTTGAGCTGATGGGCGAACGAGCCGTGCTGATGTTGTGAGGGGCGCAGCGAGCCATGAAGTTGGAAGCTACGGCGCGTGCAGCACCCTGCAGACATGTGCATCCACACTGCACGCACTACTGTACAGGCTGAAGATCGAGAAGATAGCGCCCAATGCTGCAGCCTCATTCCCACATATGTTCAGGATAGGGCGCCACTGACGCTTGCAACTTGCGCGTGCTTTGTTTCTGTGGACCATAATGGCTCAGAATTACAACACTTGTGCGGAGGGGTCCCAGGTGCAAAAGGACAATGTCACATCAATTCCACCCAAAGGCACATTTGTGCGTGGAATAAAAAAGCCAAAACGTGAGGCCAGAAAAACCCAAATGTGTAACCGCCAGCTGGTCTTTGGTTCTTATAGTCATCACGACCTGTACAAAGTGCCCATCAGTTGCAGTAACAAGAAAACACGAAAAACATTCGTTTGCTAGGTGCTCCTCTCGTCAACTCTGTGCCGCCTGAAGTAGGGACTTACGGCCTGGAATGCCAAGACGCAGGCAGCATAACACACCACGATGCCCAGCCACAGCAGCACGTGAGACCAGATCCCCAGATTGTCCATGCTCCCCGCGCCGCCAGCCGGTCGCGCCTCGCCCATCACCCTGGCCACCATTGCTCCTGCCTCTGCTGCTCCTGCTGCCCTCGTCGCCGCGACGGGCGCCGCCGCGTTCGCGCCCGCCTCTTCTTTCGAGTCCGCGGCCGCCACGGCCTGGACCAGCGCTGGCGCCGGCTCGAGCTCGTCCACATCTGACGCAGTGATGGCCGCGTCGCCGTACATCATCTCAAAATCCTTGTCTGCTTCCTTTGGAAGGCTCCCAAACTTGCCTGACAACAGCTGCAGGATTTTGTCGCCCTGGACCCGCATGTTCGTCCGCCCGGCGGCAACGCAGGCCCTGCGGCTGCCGACGTGCAGCCGGCACTGGTAGACGGCCGTCCGGACGCTGTTCGCGCTCAGAACGCGCAGCAGCGGCAGCGAGTTTTTCGCGTAGACGATGCTTGCCAGCAGCTGCGTCGGCGGCGGGGTGAAGGCGCGGGGGCGGGCGCGGCCGCAGCACGCAGGTGATCTCGTGGGTCTGGGCGCAGACGACTTGGTGGCCGCCGAGCCGTGGGTTGGCTTGCTGGTCGATGCAGCACGCCATTCAAACCCCGCTAGTCAAAAAACCCTGCACCACGCAGCACGACACTCAAGCTTTCACACCGGCAAATGCGAGTGGCATGCTGTTGGCGGCAACGCGTTCCACCCCCAAAGGTTGTGTCAGCAGGCACACGCACACTCGAGCGGGCGCGCGACTCCTGCAGGCACACGCCGCTAGCTTGCCGCGGCCGCACCTTGGCTTTCGGGCACTCTCCCCACAGGTGAGGCACCACGTCTTGCACTTCTTGCAGGAACGCCTCACGCTGCGCGGCGCGCGGGAGATGTGGATGGCGGCGCAGCAGCGGCGCAGCCGGCGTCCGATCGAGGGCAGGCGCATCAGGTGCCTGTGCCCCTCTTGCTGCGAAGCGCTCAAGTTGCGCTGCCCTTTCACCAGCGGGCTGCCATGCAGCACCTGCCATGCAGCAACTGCCATGCAGCCACTGCCATGCAGCAACTGCCATGCAGCAACTGCCATGCAGCACCTGCCATGCAGCACCTGCCATGCAGCACCTGCCATGCAGCACCTGCCATGCAGCACCTGCCATGCAGCACCTGCCATGCAGCACCTGCCATGCAGCACCTGCCATGCAGCATCCGGCCGCAGCCGCGCCGGCCCAGGGCCCCTCTTGAACCCATTGCAGTTCAGCCGATGAGCGCGGAACCCACCTCCACTGGGTCACCGGCCACCAGGTCCTTGCGTAGGCAGGCGCCCAGCCTGCCCGGGCTTGCCTGGTCACCCAAAGTTTCGGACCCGACCCACTGGCACTGGCCTTTGGACGCTTTCGCGCACTTGGCCTGGCTGAGCGCCTGCAGCAGGGTTGCGGTTGTCACGGATACTGCCACATGCACAAAGGCTGCGGGCTGCTGCAAAGACACGAGGCAGCCCAGCTGCCCGCACCCGCAAGCGCCTGCGCGTGCGGGGTGCAGCTCCCGCGCACCTGGTAGCACCTCAGGTGCTTGGCCACGGCTGAGCCCCGGCACGCCGCTACGGGCCCCACGAAGTCTACAAAAGCACCGTCTGCTAGCCTGCACGAAGGCGTCTTCGCGTGCAGGATGACAGGTACGGGTACGGAGTCAATCCTGGGTTCCAACAGCATTATCCTCCGCCGTCCGCCGACAGTCGCAACCCAATCGCCCCAGCCGTGAGCACGCCCCCCCCCCCCGGACCCCCC